GCTTTTGTCTCCATCAGAACTTGGGTTTTAATTAGGAAAATGTGAAGAAATGAGAATGCCTCTGAGCATATTGAGAATGCCTTTTCCTGAACAACGAGGAACCTTAGTGACAATTTCCAGAAGGGTAGCTGTGTTAGTCACTGCGGGAGGCAGTGGAAGACAGGAGTGCCTGGCGTGCTCTGGTCCATGGGGTCATGAAGAGTCGGACACGACTAAACGACTAAACAACAACAAAGCTGTGTTAGTCTGTTCCTGCAAAAGCTGCAAAAGCAAGTGGTTAGAGTGCTGCACTAGGACCTGAGAGACCAAGGTTCGAATCCCTGCTCTGCCATGAAGCTCATTGGGTGACCTTGAGCCAGTCACTCTCCACCTAACCTACATCACAGGGTTGTTGTGAGGATAAAATGAGGGAGAGAATTCCTCCAGCTCCCTGGAGGAAAAGTGGGGCTTGAATAAATACACAGAGGGTTGGGTAGGTATTTCCCTGCAGGCAAATTTGAGGTCTAGCCCTTGTTATTGTTATACACAGGCTTTCCCAGACAACAACAGGATGATAAAAGCAAGGAAGGAAAACCGGGGCTGCTGGTGATATTGTGAGGCAAATTTATTAGCATTTCAAAGTCCCAACCATACAATGGAGGCCCAGTTGGCAGAGTTAGTAAGGTGGTGATGAAGACCTCACAGCTTAGCTAGCTTCCTTTGGCACTTGTGCGGACAAACTGTTCAAAGGAAAGCTTATTGCCTCTGCAGCTTCATAAGGGAAGGTTCATGCTTAACATTTGGTGCTCAGAGTGTGTGTGATTCTCCCTTCCACCCTTGATCCTGAGTCGGGGAAATGTTTGAAAAGTTAGCTTATACACATATTTTGCAATTGGTTATCCATCTGGTTGCTTTACAGTTTGATTATCATAATTTGCATTGGTTAATTGATTAGCTGGAAAGGCCTCATTATTCCTTTAGCACTTCCAGGAATTATTTGCATTTTAAGAGCCCACAACCCAGCTAGCGTTCAATCTCATTGCTTTCAATGGCAGCAATGATGAATGTGCTTAAATCTCTCCCATTGAAACCAATGGGATTTAAACAGTGCTTTCCCCGATAGGATAGTGCACCCTTTCAACTACAGAGTGCTTTAAAAACAAAAAACCACATCGTGTTAGGTCCAGAGAACAAAGGTGAAAGTTCAGCCATTCCCAGTTTACAAATTATTATTCTCTATAAGTGGCAAACAGAGGCAGCAAGAGACCACGTGATTCTAGGGTGCCACAGGAACAGCAGGAAGTCGAGTGAGCACTGTATACAACCACTAGGATCCCTGATTGGTTGCAAATGCCTTATTCCATTGCTGGAGACATTGGCTAGATGGCAGCAACTTTGTTAGACTTGGTAGAATAAAGATTTACCAAGATCAAATTCTCGGGCCAACTGAATTGCACTGAACCATACTTTCAGAACAACCCTATGCACATTTTCTAAGCCCGACTGAGATCAAATTGTATGTTTAGGGTGCACTCCACTCTACGCTCCACTGATCACAGTGGGACTTGGCTCAGTAACCGTGAGCAGGATTCTGTTCCAAGTCCTTCTGAAATGAATGAGACCAGACCCATTGCTTGCAGTGGGACCCAAAGTTCAATCCTAAGCCCCACCACATTCAATGGGGCTTGCTCCCAAGCATAGGTTTCTTGGAAGCTGCTCCATTGATGAGGCTCTTCCCCCTCTGCTTGCATCACGCAGGTCACAACCACAAGGCAGAAAAGAAAATCCGGCTTGGTGTGTTGTAAACAATGCAGGAGAAGGAAGAGGCCCCTGCACCAGGCACGCTGCCATGGCTTTCCAGGGACAAGGTGTTTCCTGTGATTCCGTCAAGGGCACGACATTCCGTCTCCAGGAATTGGTCTGGAGCTGCGTGTGGTTTGCTGCATTTGTGTGCGTACAAGAGGGTGGGTGGTGTTTCTTTGGTGATGGTGTTGCTATTGCCTACATTCACGCAATAAAATGATGCACACTGTGCAGGAAGTGGATAGAGAGAAGGTTTTCTTCCTATCCCATAATACGAGGGGTCATCCAGTGAAACTGAATGGTGGGAAATTTGGGGCAGACAAAGGGAAGCAGTTCTTTTGCTCAGTGCAGTTAAAACTATGGTGTTTGCTGTCACAAGATTTGGTGCTGGCCACCAGCTTGGCCAATAGGAGATTTGGAGATTTGGATAGGAGATTTGGCTATTTGGATAGGAGATTTGGCTATTTGGATAGGAGATTTGGATAGGAGATTTGGCTATTTTCTGGAGACTAAGGCTATCAAAAGCAATTGATGCTTTTGAATTATGGTGCTGGAGGAGACTCTTGAGAGTCCCATGGACTGCAAGAAGATCAAACGTATCCATTCTTAAGGAAACCAGCCCTGAGTGCTCACTGGAAGGACAGATCGTGAAGCTGAGGCTCCAGTACTTTGGCCATCTCATGAGAAGAGAAGACTCCCTGGAAAAGACCCTGATGTTGGGAAAGATGGAGGGCACAAGGAGAGGGAAGGGGGGTGGTTGGACAGTGTTCTCGAAGCTACTAACATTAGTTTAACCAAACTGCGGGCGGGAGGCAGTGGAAGACAGGAGTGCCTGGCGTGCTCTGGTCCATGGGGTCACGAAGAGTCGGACACGACTAAACAACAACAACAAGGCTATCAATGGTTGCTAGTCGTGATGGATGGGCTGTGTCGCCTCCAATCTCAGAGGAAGCATGCCTCTGCAACTAGAGAGTCTCTAGGGGAGTGTGGCACTCATGTCCCGGTTGTGGACTTCCCATGGGCTGACCACTGTGGGAAGCTAGATTCTAGAGGACATAGGTATTTGATCTGATCCAGCAGGGCTTTTCTCATCTTCTTAAGGATGCAGAGGATCACGGGAAACTGCCTTATACAGAGTGAGGACCATTGGTCCATCTAGCTCAATACTGCCTACACTGGCTGGCAGTGGCTCTCCAGGGTTTCAGACAGGGAGCCTCTCCCAGCCCTACCTGGAGAGGCCAGGGGTTGAACCTTCTGCATGCCAGGCAAGTGCACTACGACTGAGCCATGGCCCTTCCCCAATGCCTATACTTGCCTGTGCTCATACTTTCTCAGTACTGTACAGAGCAATTCTTAAGGGAGAGGGAATTTTTGCTCCATCTGACTCAGCTCAGTTTTCTTACTCATTTTTGGCATAACCCAAGATTTCATCCTCAATGTCAGACCTGCAGTTTTGAGTTTTAAGGTTGCAGGGGACATATTTTCACTTTGGGGATGGATCCATGTCTTTACATAAGGTTGTGTCAGGAGAAGTTTTAGCAACCGTAAGGAATGTTGCTTCAGGGGTGAACTTTGCCCCTTGGAACAGTGTTGTCCCTAGTGGTTGGCCGTGTTTGAATTCATTGTCATAGTCCTCCAACCCCCTATTGCCAGTCCCACTCCCAGCGGTGGGACAGCAGTGGGCAAGCAGGGGTCCCCCTCTCCCCATCAAAGCTGCAGCTGTGGAACTTTGAGCATCACCAGAGCTCTTCAAGGAAAGAACCAAACAAGCCCTTTCCTGACCGCAATACATTGATACTCCACTGAGGATAAGTCTCTCCAGGGTTTCAGGCGGGGTCTCTCCTCTTAGGCCTACCTGCAGATGCCAGGGATCAAACAATACTAAGTGCAAGGGATCCCTTACAGCAGTGATTCTCCATTAGCTAAGTACTGCAGACCCACGGTTTTTCAAAAGCCAAGCCATGGATGTCCTACTTTTGAAATTTTTGATATCTCTGTCAAAATTTGATATCTCTGAAATATCAAATTTTATCAAAATATCAAATCAAAAATTTCAAAAATTGATATCTCTGAAATTTGTGATATCTCTGTCTTTGTTATGCAAATGGAGCCACAGATGGCTGCAAGCAATGTGGCCCTCAGGCTGGCAAAGGGTCCTTGCCCCTTGTTCCGAATACACATCTGGGCTCAAATCTGCACTCCTCCAGGAAACTTACTGATTGACCTTGAGCAGCCCAGCCCTACCTTACAGGATTGTTGTGAGGATAAACTTAGGAGGGAGAAACTAAGCATACAGCCCTGAACTCCTTGGAGGAAGAGCGTGATAACAGTACTTTAAATAAAAGAAAAAAATCAGGCTTGCCCATAAAAATCGCCCTACACATGCAATGATGAAGATGATAAGACACATACTAGGAAGCCCCATTGAGAACAGTAGTGCTTACTTGCAAGGAAACATGCAGGCCTTTGCTCTGCATGTTATTCCCAATTTATAAACTAGTGAATGGAAAATGAGTGACTTCTCCAAGACAACCCAGGAAAACCATGATAAATGGATTAGCTAGGATTTAATTTTAGGCATTCCAGATCGATGCCTCCAAACCGGGCCACTTCCGACTGCTATCCCAGGAGAAGGAACTGTTTGCAAGCAGCATTGGATTAAATAGTTTTGCCAAGGAGATCTTGAGAGCATCCACAGGGCAGCCTTTCACCTTCCTAGCTGACCAAAATATTTGGAACCCATCAAGCTTCCTGGTTTTGCCTTTCAAAATAGGCTCCACCTCTGGGACCTCCGTTGTCTTGAGATGCCCAGGGGCGGCTTAAGCTGTTGTTTTCTAATGACATTTTATCAGGAGTAGTTACTTTCCTAATGATGTTGTTTTGTTCTTGTGCAAGATTTCCCGGTTGGATTCCTTTGTGCAAATCTTGGGAAGGTCCTGGCCAGATTCTCTCCCCACCCCCACCCCAATCCTTGACTGCCTGGCTTTGTTTCTGTTTACTTGGCTTAAATCCTCTGCAGCCTCGCCAGCAGAATCTGGTGTCTATTGCATCTCCAGGCAAGGCTAACTTTTCCCGCATGTGCTCTGACGTTTTGGGCTGGGACTTGGAGTCCTTGGGTGTGTGTTGCATGCAGCTGTGTGTGTCATGTGGTATGGCATGCTTTAAACTTGAACATTCCCCTGGCCCTTTTTTGAGTAAAGATGTGCAGCAAACAGACATTTCCAAACAAACATTTATACATTGCTTTTCTAATACAGGCATCTCTCAAAGCAGTTAACAACAAAATGTTTTTTTAAAAGTTACTGTCAGAACAGAGGATATTAGGGGTGGGAATGAGAAAGTATGAAGAATTTATCAGCTTTGCCGAAAATTTCAGGAGCAAATGTCCCAGGAACAACTACTGTGACAAGTCATCCATGGAGATTGTGGTTTCCTGCTCTTAATCATCTTCTGGCTCCTCTTTAATTGCATTGCAGACTTGTACTGTAGATTAAAGAATGTGCAATCGTGTTATCAGGCCAGCTTGCACTGGGGAAGGAGCATCTAATTTTTTATGGTACACAAGACTTTTCATCAGGCAGAATAAAAAAGAAACCTCCATGCCTAGCTCCTCAAGCCCTCCTCTTCAGCCCCATTCTGCCTGATGACGACAGGCTGAATCCAGGAATTCCCATCATCCCTTACCATTGGTCATGCTAGCTGGGGTGTGAAGGGACATGGAGTCCAACAACATCTGCAGGGCTACCGTTCTTGCACACTTTCTCTGCAACAGAAGCGAGTGTGACAAAAGAGATGATGATGATGATAATACGTGTCATCCACATCGTATCATGTTCCAGGATAAGCTGAGTGTGGTTTTTGCATTTGCCCATGGCTAGCATAACATGCAGAACACACACAGAAATATATATATAGAATCATAGAATCATAGAGTTGGAAGAGACCACAAGGGCCATCGAGTCCAACCCCCTGCCAAGGATATTTGCAAATAATCAAGTCAACATGCTGGCATGGTCATTTCAGCCAATGAAAATGAGCACAGTGGTGCAGGGTAACATCTCTTTGAAAAAAAACCCAGAAAGCCACATTAAAATCAAAGACTTTGGCCTTTTGATTTAAAATCTGCATGACTTCAGCCCATTAGCCCCATTCCATTTGGGTCTGAATTTTGCTTCCCAATGCCAAGAGTGGCTGGGGAAACCCAGCCAGATGGGCGGGGTATAAATAAAAAATTATTATTATTTTAAACTTTTTAAAATTAGTATGTTAACAAATATAAAATATAAAATAAATATAAAAGAAACACGGCCACAATGTGTAGCCAAAAGAAGATTAAATTCAAGAAAAGTGCCAGGTTGACAAAGGTTGGTTCATACTTATACTGCACCAGTTGGGAAAACAACTTGCAGGCAGGAGGCACAATAATATAACATAATATTGGGGTGAAGAATTAAGGGCCCCTTTTGTATGCTTTTGCCGGGTTTTAAAGTTGCCAGTGGGGCTGTTCTTCAAACACAATCAGTGATCTTGGGAGAACATTTTTAGTGCTGCAATCATTCTGCTCCAAGATATATTTATAAACTCAGATGGTTTTGTTTTTTTAAGTCTAAAGATATCCTGTTTATAAGGGATAGGTAATTGTTTGCATATAAATCTTCTATATTTGGCGTTTAGTAAATACAGAACTATTTAATTGGTTTTAACTGCTCAGTTTGGCTGCAGGAGCTTTGATGTCGCTCATCCTTTAACTTGCAGAGGTGGGGAATCTGAAGATGGCAGCGTGGCTGATCTTGTTTTTTTCTCCTTTGATCCTTACCGAGGCATTTTGCAAACCAAAAATGAAAATTATTTAGCATGTTTATCCCGCCTTACTTCCAAAGAGGTCAGATAAGTTTGTTAGGCTAGCAACAAACTTCATTCCTACTCTGGATGCCATAGGTGTCTTGATGCCACCTAAAGACCTTGGCATTTCAGGAGGCTGATGGGCTAACCCAGCTGCCACTCACCTTGGTGCCTTCCAGATGTTCTGGCTACAAATCCTATCAGTCCTGGCTTATGGGAGTTGTAGCCAAAACTTCTGGAAGGCACTTGGTTGATGAAGGCTAGCCTAACTACAGATGTGCTATCTGCAGGTTGGCAGGGTGGCATAGGCAGGGCAGTGTTGCAATCCTGGCTTCCCAATGCCAAGGGTAGCTTCTGTTTGCCAGTAGGGGGAGAGGCAAGGCGTGGGAGCTCAGCATGTTGTCTGTGCCGGGGCAGAGCTAATCCAACACTCCTGCTGCTACTATTTTGAGGCTGGCTGCAATTATGCCCTGACAATTGTACATTGGCAAGGGCATGGTTTTCACTTGCCATAGGGTGCAATGCAACTAGGAGGGCAATGCATAGCTTCTTGCCTGAGACCTGCGAAACATGGAGCCAGGTCTACCTGTTGAATACAGGCTGCAGCAGCATGCCAGCCCTCAGTCCAATCAAAGGGCACCACCCGACTGCCAGTATTTTGCAGGAGATTCAAGCGCATACTGGGAAATGTAGGTTTCCTCAATTAAAGTGGATTAAAGCACATTCATCCTAGTGCAACAAATCCACTTTTTAAAAACCCAGGTGTTCTGTGGCTTGCAAAGTATGAATATAAACATCCCACAAGCAAATCAGGATAGATGCTCCATAAAGACCAGATATAATCTAACCTCCGTGTAAGCTTTGTGCAAGCAAAACAGGATGAATGTGCAATAAGCAAGTCATATGGAGGAGCCCCTAGAGAGGACAATGGCGGGAGCCTCATCGTCTTTCCAAACACATTCTGGATTTTTCCTTCCTCCAGGAGTTCTGATAAATTCATCTGGTCCTCAGTTTAAGACTCCATCTCCAGAATCCAGGTGATTCCAGTCTACATTACTCCATGAATTACCCAAGAACATTTGTTTACCAAGTTTTTGCCATAGGCACTGCATCCAGATGTCTACCACAGCCATCTTCCTGTTGCTTCCAGATTGGAGCGTCGCTAACACATGGAAGGATTTCTCTTGTCCTCCGGCTTCATAGAAGCCAGCAAAATACACAGTTTAGTCCAATGTAAGACTCGAGGGGAGAGTTTTGCTTAGGAGGAACAAGACTCTGGATTGTTGTTGTCTTTGGTCTGGTGGCGCACAGCACCCATGCTGCGCAAGTCCTGCATTCAGTGTCTCATCACTGTTAATGGCCTACCAACCCATGAGTAGAATTGGCAGCTATGGAAGTGGAGTCAGGAAAGAGCAGTTTGTGTGTGAGAGGGAGGACTGCATTTTTGGAAAAGAGAGTGCAATTTTCCATCCCCCAGAGGAGAAGATTTATTTGCTGCTTCCCTATTGGCCCAAGCTGCTTCCTCCAGCACCTGGATTTGCTATGGTTGTTCAGCGGGAGGTGGTGAAGATGTGTTCCAAAGAGATGCATTCTTCCACCCTCCTGGTTCCTGAGATTTTTTGTGTTAATAAAGAACCCCCCCCCTCTCTGTGTGTGTGTGTGTGTGTGTGTGTGTGTGTGTGGTGTGTCTGAGGTTCCTGCTTCTCCATCCCCTCCAACACCCAGGAAGGACAGCCTTCTGCTAAAGGGGCACAGAGAACTGGATGCGGCAACAGGCAAACAGGCTGCCAGCTCATCATCTGGTTTGCACTTCCCAGGCACAACAAGGAGCATAAATCCAGCCTGTCATGCCCCTGGCTGGAAACAGTGGCTTTCCTTGGCCTCGTAAAGAGCCAGCAGATGTAGCAAGCGTGCTTGGAGAGCCAGCGGGTGCCCACCCAGCGGACTAGAAAACATCTCTTCAGACAATGTTCCCATTTTAAAAAGAGGCGCTGAGTGCTCTACAACACCACACAGGAATGTGCAGAAAGTGGTAAGGGAAGCAAGAAGTATGGGGAGTGGGGGTGTTCGCCTCCTTTCTCTTGCTTAATAAGTCATGCTGGCTGGTGCCTTTAGGGCAGGAAGATGGGAGGCCCCGGCTGGGTGGAGCCAGAGCCAAGGACAGGCAGAGGTAGAGCCTTTGACAAACAGAGCTGACGGAAGCCTGTTTTGTCCCCATCTTCTTCCCTGCTCAGTTCTAGGAGGCAGCACAGAGACCAAGGAGGAGGAAACTGGCAGCAGGTGCCACTCGCTGGAATGGCTGTAAGTAGGAAGGCAGGCAGGCAGGCATGTGGAATACTCACCACAAAAAGAATATTGCAGAGTTGGAAAAGGTTCAGAACAGGGCAAGCAAAAGGATCAAAGGGGTGGAACAATTCCCTTACGAGGAAAAGCTGCAGCATTTAGGATTTTTCAGTTCCGAGAAAAGGCAATGAAGAGGTGACTGCACAGAAGTTTATAAAATTTTGCATGGCAAGGAGAAAGCAGATGGAGAAATGTGTTTTCTCCTAATGCTCAAACTTGTGGACATCCCAATGAAGCTGAATGCTGGAAGATTCAGGATAGATAACATAAAGTACTTCTTCACAGATCACATAATTAATCTATGGAACTCGCTCCCCCACATGGCAGTGAGGGCCACCCACTGGGATGGCTTTAGAAGAGGACTGGACCAATTCAGGAAGGCTGTGCTGGAGGCAATGTGCCTCTGAGTCCCAGAATGCTGCTGCACTCGGGTCCTGCGTGCAGGCTTCCCACTTGGAGAACAGGATGCAGGACCAGGTGGGCCACTGGCCTGACCTGGCAGGCCTCCTATGATGTTATGCTCAGTAAGTATGGGGAACTTCAAATTTGCCTTAATGGACCAGTCTTCAATGTTAATAATCAGGAGCATTTATTGGGGGGCTTGAGCATTCTGGGGCTCAGTCTTTGACTTCACTGCCAGGGTTCAAAATCTCAGAATAATATTGCATGCAAGAATAGAGGAAAGGACCTCTGAGCACGTGCAGAGTGCATCTCTTTCACTTCAGGGAAGCAACTGAGCATTAGGGAGTGGAGGGGAAATTGCCCAAATCAGACTGCTTCTTCCATACAGGCAAGTGCTGCAGGAGTGGGCTGGGTCCTGAACTCGTGGTCCACTGCAGTTCCATTTTATGGAGGAGGGCAATCTGAGGAGCCAGAAATAGAGACTATAGCAGCGCTGGGGCTCCTGTCAAGTCCTCACATGTTACTGGACTACAGCTCCCATCATCCCTGACCACCTGTCACTCTGGCTGGAACTGACGGGAGTTGTAGTCCAACATCTGGAGGACCACAGTTTCCCCATCTGCAGCCAGGAGAACCTTCCTTCTGGTACACAGGGATAATTTGGCATAGCCACAAGGGGAGTGGAGGGGGAGAATGATGCCTACGTATTCCACCCACTCCAAACATGCAGTTCCTTTAGCCCAGGGATCGGCAAACTACGGCCCGGGGAGCAAATGCAGCCCCCCTGACTCGTAAGTCCGGCCCGCAGACCCTGGTCAGTCCCGTGCGCTGCGGACACCTCGCTGCGCGGGGACCGACTTCTGCGACGCTGGCATGGCTTCTGGGTGGGCGGCGAAGCTGGCGTGGCTTCAGAAAGCTCCTGCAGCCAATCCGAAGCTGCGACGTTTGGATTTGCGCGCAGGGGAGGTGACGCGCAGAGCAGAGCAGGGGTGGCGCTGCCGCCCCCAGCACCTGAGCTGGGTTTTCCCCATGGCAATGGTGTGTGCTTGGCAGGGGCCCCTGGCTTCCCCTGGGCCTCCACCTCCTCTGCCATTGCTGCTTCTCCTGCTGCTGCTTCTCCTCCTCTCTGATGCCGCTGTGCCAGCCGTGGCCCCTTTCAGGGTGGGTGGGATATGA